TAGACGTCTTAATTATTATGTGGATCGATTTGTTGTAATACTTTATAAAATAAAATGTATATTTATACTATATAATGTAATATTTCTGTTACATTATGATATTTTTTTTCTAATGAAAATATATAGAAAAAGATAAATGTAAACTCATGAACGTTCAAGTCTTGTTGTTTTTTATTTTTATTTTTCAAGAAGAACACTTATTTTAAAATTGATGGAATAAAAGGTAACAATAATGTTATTGACGACAAATCATATTGTACGTTTTGAAGGGTCATCCTCCCTATATATAATTACCGAATACGCTGAGCCTACGTGACTGTTTCTGGTGTTTCGAAATCTTATTTGGCGAAAAATCATGCTTCGTAATTAGGTTTGGACAAATAATATTGATATATTAATAATTAATAATTTAGGTTTGGACATTCCATAAATATTATTTAGCTAACTTAGGTATTTTAATATTACTTGTACTAATATAACTCTTTAATTCCTTGTAATTTTACATAGTGAGACACTAAGTGACTAATATATCCATGACTTTTGATTTGTTTCTTTCAATTAGCTATTGAATTGTAAATGTATTTTAAAAGATGATAACTTTTGTATTTCTTATCAGTTTTACATATATAATATATCAAATTAATCATCTTTTGATGATCTTCGATTTGACATCCATATTGTATATATTAAAATAAATAAATTATATTTATCTTTATAATAATAAAAAATAATTATATTTATTAAAATTCATTAGAAAAATAAAATTATTTCTCAATTGATATATTTATGTTTAATGTAGTTATATTTTGTAAGTTAAAAAAATTATTATAATATAACACAGGTATGTCGCACAACTAAAACGTGGCATACTAAATATATAATAATATATATTTTTTATAAAAGGTATTTAAATTTTTAACTATTTTTTCTCATTAATTTTAGATTTTAAGAAAAAAAATTAGCAAACATCCGTGTAATACACGGGAGTTGTACTAGTTTATAAATATTCACAAATGATGTAATATGTATTCTTAAATAATTGCGCTAAGACGACACACCAATACGTCGATTTATGGTGTTTCGTAATACCATGCTCCATTAAATAATTTATTAGGCAAATCGTAATCACGTATTAAATTTGAGCTTGCACGGATTAGGTGAAAAGTATCCATCTAAATTAGAAATAATATGAAACTCAATCACGGGATTTGTTCTTTCCATATTGTGACCTGTAATATATGTATTGCAAGTTTTTTTTTTGGTACAAGAAAGGAGGCAAAGCCTATATCCCGGCTACGTGAACACCCGACGAGGGTGAGACACGCCGGCAATATCATGTTGTAACCATAACCCCGCCCCCGGAGAAGGACGCTCCAGTATATGCAAACCGTCCGGTCCTTGTGCCGCCAACGACGCCAAAAAATCCGCTACAAAGTTATCTTCACGATAGCCATGAGTAAGTGTCACACTCCATTGTCGACGTAAAAGATCCTTAATGCATTTAAAAAGGCTCCCATGCGGCCCGTTAGTGTCATCATGGTGGACCATCGCAACGACGCTTTGATTATCCACCTCCACCGTGACTTTGCGCGCTCCAATATCCCAAGCCAATTGCAGTCTCTGAAATAATTCCCATAATTCAGCGCCCATGGTCGAACAAAACCCAATATTCATCACAAAACCCCGAACCCAGTTGCCATAATGGTCCCGAACGACCCCACCTGCAAGCCATCCCTGTTGATGGGATAAAACTACCATCGGTATTGCAAAGTTTTCAATGTTAATTAAAAAAAATGTACCTTTTTATAGCTAATATTATATTAACATCACCAATGTGTGCATGCCACATAAACAATGGACATATTAACATGTGTCCACCGTGACTGTAGTGCTGTTAAATTAAACGAGTCTGGCTGGGCTCGACTCGAGCTCGGCTCGTTAAGCCTCGGTTCGGCTCGAGTTCGAAGCATTAACGAGCCGAGCTCGAGCTCATTTAAAGCTTGTTTGGTCAACGAGCCGAGCTCGGCTCGGCTCGAAAAAGTGAAAATATGTAATTTTTTAAGTTTGACTCGTTAAAACTCGAGATCGGCTCGTTAAGGCTCGAGCTCGAGCTCGAGCTCAAACACCTTACGCTCGAGCTCGGCTCGGCTCGTCTACAGCCCTAACTGTGAGTAGGGGAGCATTACTCGTTGAATGGTTGAATCAGTGGTGCAACTAGTGGTTAAACTGATTTTTATTAATAATTTTAAATATATATAATGTTTTAAATAATAAATTGTACATATAAATATGTTATTAACTATTTCGAAAAATTTAAATATTCAAAAAGTCTATTTATACATAACCATCTATATTTAAATGTGTAATTTTTTTTAGTACAAATATTTTTAAATATATTTAAACTATGTTTGAATAAAACTACGTCCATTATGAGAATGCAGCAGTGTTAAAACTCTTGAGGGAGAGATTTGCCGTCCTTGTGGTCCTATCCGGTTCGATTCCGGATTAGTCAGTTCCCCTGTGGATCCGAAAACCGGAAGATCCCTGTACAAAAAAAAAAAAAAAAACTATGTCGATTCGACTGATCGACTTTTGGCGAGTTCTAATCGGTTCGCAAACAACTAGCATTCCAACGCTTTGTGTAGAAGCGACTAGTCTCATGATTCGATTTTGAAAACTATTTATATTTAGTTTCTCTCGTTTACCGAAAGTGAATATCGTTTAATATACAATAAACTTATTTAGCAGGCAAATAACATAGTATACAAATTAAATATGTTGTCACAAAAAAATAAAAATAAAAAACATCATTTAATATACTCAACGTCTCATTTGACATGAGACTGATATATAAACTATGAAGATTTAAATATGCAGAGGCTATTGTACCCAAAAAAAAAAAAAAATGCATATAGGGTATAGCCCAACTTAGCCCGTTACTAATTATTTTAATATAATATGTAATCCAAAGAGTGACGATATTATTTTATATAGTTAACGTCAAAATTAATGAAATAAAATAAATAGGATCGGAGATGCGGTAGCTGATTGCATGATTACTGATTGCATGGAATCAAACATTTTGTTCACTTTTCAACAACTACACTTCTAAATTCTAATCATATACCACTAAACTTCAGAACTAAAATTTAAAAAAATAAAAATAAAAATTGAAGTTGGTCGCACAGTACATTACTTTATATATAATTTTATTATTTTACCTGTATATCACACACTTTAAATAGACATTTCAATCTTTAAACAAAATGCAGAAATAAATAAAAGAAAAAAAAAAGAATGAAAATGGAAACCATAGTGCTATACCCATCTCCAGGCATGGGCCACCTCATCTCCATGGTGGAGCTCGGAAAACTCATCCTCCGCCACCACCCATCCGCCGCCGTCACCATCCTCACCGCCCCTCCCTCCTTCAACACCGGCTCCACCGCCGCCTACATCCGCCGTGTCTCCTCCGCCCTCCCCTCCATCACCTTCCACCACATGCCCGCCGTCAACCTCGACCTCCAGGCCTTCCCCTCCATGGAGGCCGTCATCTTCGAGACCCTCCGCCTCAGCAGCCCCCACGTCCGCCGCGCCCTCGAGTCCATATCCGCCGTGGGCCCCACCATCTCCGCCTTCATCATCGACTTCTTCTGCGCCTCCTCCCAACCCATCGCCGCCGAGCTGGGCATCCCGACCTACTACTTCGGCACCTCCGGCGCCGCCTCGCTGGCGTTATGCCTCCACTTTCCGGCGGTCCACCGCTCCACCACCGTGAGCTTCAAGGACATGAAGAACACGCTCCTCAATTTCCCGGGCCTGCCGCCATTCCCGCCTTCTGACGTGCCGTTGCCACTTCTTGATCGAGAGAGCTCGGACTACAGGAAGTTTCTAGAATGTTCTCTTGGCGTGTCGTGTTCGGATGGAATAATTATCAACACATTCGAGAGTTTGGAGGTTAGGTCTCTGAAATCAATAAGAGAAGGTGAGTGTAACACGGGCGGGCCGGCTCCGCCGCCGGTTTTTACAATTGGGCCGCTTCTTGCATCCGAGGAGCGGAGTACCAGCGGCCCAGCCCACGAATGCTTGAGTTGGCTCGACAAGCAGCCAAGTAAAAGCGTGGTCTACTTATGCTTCGGCAGCTTGGGCTTGTTTTCGGAGGCCCAATTGAAGGAAATCGCGATAGGGTTGGAGAAAAGCGGCCACCGGTTTCTGTGGGTGGTCCGATCGCCACCGAGTGGCGACGACAGCGCCCGCTTCCTGCCGCCGCCGGAGCCGGAACTGGACTCCCTCCTGCCGGAGGGGTTCCTGGACCGGACGGCGGGCCGGGGCCTGGTGGTTAAGTCGTGGGCCCCGCAGGTGGCGGTGCTGGGGCACAGGTCCGTGGGAGGGTTCGTGACTCACTGCGGGTGGAACTCGGTGCTGGAGGCGGTGCGGGCCAGCGTGCCGATGGTGGCGTGGCCGCTGTACGTGGAGCAGAAGGCGAACCGGGCGGTGTTGGTGGAGGAGATGAGGGTGGCGCTGAGAATAGAGATGGCGGAGGACGGGTTTGTGGCGGCAGAGGAGGTGGAGCGGCGGGTGAATGAGCTGATGGGGGAGGCAGAGGAGGTGAGGAGGGTGGTGGAGGAGAAGAGCTTGGAGGCTATGGCGGCCATGGCGGAAGGAGGTTCCTCCATTGTTGAGCTTGGGAAGCTTTTTCAGTCGTGGAAGAAAGTGTGATGGTTTTATTAGTGATTTGAAAAAATGGACGGTAATTAAAACATAAAAACTATGGAAATGTGTTTGGATTAATAAGTTTTAGAATTCATTTAATGATTTTATGTTTAGTTAGTAGTAGCCATTATATAATAATAAAATAAATAATATATATATATAAATTATAGATAAACAAAAACAAAAAAGTTATCATACATCTTTGCCAACAAACGTATATAGCGATTTACAAAGAGAGAAAAAAAAACAACGAAGCTACTCCATTACTCTAAGAAAGTAAGCTACACCAAACATATCTTGTTCTTTTCAGATCAACTGATGGAACTTCTAAATATTGCAGGGCCTCCTTGGAGAAGTTCCAGCGAAAGAAGCTAAAAAATCCGCAAAGAAATTAGATTCTCTACAGACATGTCGTAAATTTAATCTTCAATTTCATCCCGTCATATTCCGAATAGCCCATAAAAGGCTACCATGCACTCCGAGCGACGTATGCTGGCCCAAAATCAAATCCACCACACTCTTGTGATCAACATTAATAGCCATAACATGTGGGTAACATAGATCCCAAGACAACTGAAGGCATTGGAACAATCCCCATAACTCTGCTCCCATAAGTCATAACGGTAAACTAATATATATTACAAACCCATCAAAAAAAAAAAAAAACATTACAATTCCTAAGAAGGTCGCCTGCACTAGCCATCTCGTTTTAGGATTAAAACAACCATTATAATCTAATTTAGTTCAATCCAAATGAGGCTCCTCCTTCCTGATCCATATGTTAACTACGCTCAAGCCATGCACGTCGAAATGTGTTACCGAATCTGTTGTTGTCTTATATATGCTTACATGATTTTGAACTCATGAAGTTGCATTTCTGCCATTTCTGGTGCGCTAAAGACATACACGGAGGAGGACACATTCTCAGTCCTCAATAGGGAATCCGCAAAACATTCACCAGCAAATTAATTTCCAACCATCCATGGTGAAAAAATTATGACTAAATAATTTGCGGAATCAAGCTCCTCCTTATTTGCGACTCCTCCATATTTGCGATGCAACCTCAGTCTCGCAGCACATGTATTGTTATCTCTAACGTACTCCCACACAACTGAGAATGAGTGACTGTCTACTAGATACTTCATGTGTTTCCACATTTGTAAACGGACTCTCTTTCTTCCACTAACCATAAAACTGTATGTATGAGTCTTTGCAACCCAACCCGGCCCATTTCCAAATAATTCTCGACAATTGGCGATAATTAACTTCATCACGAGATATACTGCAACATAGACTGAGCGAGTCGTAAAAAAGTCATCGTGAGATAGTGCAACATAGACTAACCTCATTTTTGTATTCAACAAGGCGTGTCACATTGTCGCTTCGGCTTAATTTGTAGTGACACGCTTGTTTGCATTTTTATTCGATGCAAATAACTTGGCTTCTTACTGTGTTTTGTGAGGGATTGTAGAGAAGCATTGTCCAAATTTCACATGGAATGGGACAGAAACAAGGCGTGCAAGCCGGCCAAAAGGAGAAAGGGCCGGGTTTGGAATTGTGTCACGTCTTATTCTATGTACATCACCAATAATTGTACCAAAAAATACATGCTAAATGAATGTACCAAGACCACAAAGCAAAACTTTGAAAAAAATAAATTTTATGGTCCCATATATATTTTCTTCTATATAAACACAAATAGAAAGTTTAGAAAAATCAACTCTCACACACTTGAACACACACACACCAAAGGAAAAGGAAGAAAAATGGAAACGATAGTGCTGTACCCATCTCCAGCCATGGGCCACCTTATCTCCATGGTGGAGCTCGGAAAATTCATCCTCTGTCACCACCCATCCGCCGCCGTCACCATCCTCACCTCCACTCCTTCCTTCAACACCGGCTCCACCGCCGCCTACATCCGCCGCGTCTCCACCGCCGTCCCCTCCATCACCTTCCACCACCTGCCCGCCGTCCACCTCGACCTCCAGGCATTCCCCTCCATGGAGGCCGTCATATTCGAGACCCTCCGCCTCAGCAACCCCCACGTCCGCCGCGCACTCGGCTCCATCTCCGCCCCCGTCTCCGCCTTCGTCATTGACTTCTTCTGCTCCTCCTCCCAGGACATCGCCGCCGAGTTCGGCATCCCGACCTACTACTTCGTGACCTCCGGCGCCGCCGCCACGGCGTTCTTCCTCCACTTCCCGGCCGTCCACGGCGCGACCACCGTGAGCTTCAAGGACATGAGGGACACGCTCCTCGATTTCCCGGGCCTGCCGCCGTTTCCGCCGTCCGACGTGGTGGAGCCGGTGCTCGATCGGGAAGCCACCGACTACAAGATCTTTCTAGAATATTCATTCAACGTATTAGTTTCAGATGGAGTAATTGTGAACACATTCGAGAGTTTGGAGGGTAGGACTCTGAAATCAATAAGAGAGGGCAAATGCAACCCGACCGGCCCAACGCCACCGGTTTTCACTGTCGGCCCGCTTCTAGCCGAGGAGGACCAAAAAACCGGCGGCCCGGCCCACGAATGCTTGAACTGGCTCGACAAGCAGCCTAGTAAAAGCGTGGTCTACTTATGCTTCGGCAGCTTGGGCTTGTTTTCTGAACCCCAATTGAAGGAGATCGCTATAGGGTTGGAGAAAAGCGGCCACCGGTTTCTATGGGTGGTCCGGTCGCCGCCGACCGGCGACGAGAGCGCCCGGTTCCTGCCTCCGCCGGAACCAGATCTGGACGTCCTCCTTCCGGAGGGGTTCCTGGACCGGACGGCTGGCCGGGGCCTGGTGGTGAAGTCGTGGGCCCCACAGGTGGCGGTGCTGGGGCACGGGTCGGTGGGTGGGTTCGTGACTCACTGCGGCTGGAACTCGGTGCTGGAAGCGGTTCGGGCGGGCGTGCCGATGGTGGCGTGGCCGCTGTACGCGGAGCAGAAGGTGAACCGGGCGGTGTTGGTGGAGGAGATGAGGGTGGCGCTGAGGATGGAGATGGCGGAGGACGGGTTCGTGGCGGCAGAGGAGGTGGAGCGGCGGGTGAGGGAGCTGATGGAGGAGGCGGAGGAGGTGAGGAGGGTGGTGGAGGAGAAGAGCTTGGAGGCGGCGGCGGCCATGGCGGAAGGAGGTTCCTCCATTGTTGAGCTTGGGAAGCTTTTTCAGTCATGGAAGAAGGTGTAGTATTTTTGTAGTAATTTCGAATATTTATTATTTATAAGTATGGAAATATGTGTAGATTTTGGTAATTAGATTACTTATATGGAACAATGGCTGATTTTGTTTCCATTGGGAACCACTTTTTATACCCCAAAAAAAAAAAAAAAAAA